CATCAGAACCTTTAGGATGCATTGATAGTGATTTCTTCTCTAGAACTTCATTTTTCAGCTTTTTTCTCAGTAATTTCGCAGTTTTTCAATTTTTTTTTCCGATTTCGAATCATTTTCCGGCAAAAATTCGTAAAATTAGGTTTGTTATCACACTAAACACATTCAAAACCCCTTTTTCCACACTTTCTGACAAGTTTTTATACTATTCCAGCCCTCTGAAACCCCCAAACTTTTTTCTGTAGATCAAAAATTAATTTGCAGTTCGGAAATGTTCTGTGGGAGATCGTGTAGTCGGATATTTTCTAGATTTCTAGAAAACCGGAGTTTTTGAAGTTTTAAGATTCCAAACTCCTGACCTACCGAATTTCGGGATTTTCGAATTTCCAAATTTCTAAATATCTAAAATCTGAAATTCTGAAATTTCGTATTCCTGTTTTTTTTAATTATTCAGATTGTGAATTCCTTTTCGCTGACTTTCGGAATTTCAAATTTTCTGAATTTTCAAATTTTGAAAGATCCGAATCACGGAATTTTTGAATTTCTGTAAGTTTCAACTTTTGATTTTCTACAATTATGAATGCTCAAATTTCTTTTTTTCTAAATTTTTGAGTTGCTGTAATTCTGAATTTCTGAGTGGTTTAATTACCAAATTTTCAAAATTCCATACCACTGGTATTCTGTTATTTTGAATTTCAAAATTTTCAAAAATTTTGAAATTAGGAATTTCTATTATAGATCTCTGAAAAACCGGAAGAATTTTTAAGATTCCAAATTCCTGGACTGCTTGATTTCGGAATTTTTAAAGTTTCGAATTTCTAAATTGCTGATATTCTCAAAATCTTAAATTCTGAATTTTCGAATGTCTGTAAATTTGAATTTTTGGATTTTGTTTTGGTTTTTCGGATTCCTACATTCCATAATTATTGTTAAGCTTCCAGCTCTCCCGCAAAGTCGAAACAGAAGATCTGCGTGTGACGACATTCCCGAGCTGTTGGACTGACAAGGATCTCGCTCCCGAGCCAGCTGTCAAAGAGGAGCAAGTGTTCGCCGAGGAGGATCTGATGCCACTGAACGACGAGGGGGAGGGAGCGCGTGTTGGGGCTGTTGGAGACGGAGCTGCTGCTGGAGAGCAAATGGAACAGAACGCTGTTGAGGATGTTGAGATGGGAGGTAGGTTGGGGGTTATTGTATTAATGAAAAAGAATGCTGTGTAGTTGTAGTCTCTTCAGATTCAGGATTACTGTAGCATAATCTAGTGAATGAGGTATGTTGGATTACTGTAGCTATGAGGCTTAGGATAGGGTACCTGTATATCGATTTCAGAATTCATTGAGCAAGGTAACCGAATCCAGAATTACTGAAGGATTACTGTTTCATGGCCCAAAAGGCTTAGGATTGTTGTAGCTAGGGGCATTATTGTATTACTGGTAGAAACATAGCAGGTCTTCCGCAAGCTAGGATTACTGTAAGGTTACTGTACTTCGATTTGAAAGTTCATTGAACAAGGGTTACTGTAACCGTATCCAAAAAAGAGCAAAGCTATAGACTACTGTGAGTAAGGATTACTGTAGCTTAATTCAGGTGCCTAGGTTTTGGATTGCAGTAGAATGACCCAATAATTTCAGGATTACTGTAGCTAGGAAGATTATTGGATTATTACTAGAAAAAGTTCAAGGGTTTCTATAAGCTAGGGTTACTGTAACAATATCCGAAAGCGGGGAAGCTATAGATTATTGTGAGCAAGGATTACTGTAGCTGAACTCAGGATTACTGTAACCGGATGTAAAATTATAATATCTGGGTTCAGGATTACTGTAGTAGGGTGTTTTTTGAACGTTTTTAAAAATAATGTTGAGTTCGCGCATTTTATGATGGAATGCACTCACACCTGTGTAACGAATCAGCAGTTCAGTTTAAAGTATGCGCGCCGATATTCAGCGCGCTTAACTACGGTATTCGCGTTAGAGAGCATTTACTTTCCGTCCTTAAAAAACACCGTGCTGTAGCTAGAAGGATTTCTGCAAACCATTCACTATTAGGATTACTGTAGGGTTACTGTATCTCAATTTCAGATAACTGAGTATGGATTACTGTAAGCACATCTCAGAAGTTGGGAGAGCTAGATATAACTGTAAGCCAGGACTACTGTACCTGTGTCCATAACTAGATTTAGGATTACTGTAACAAGATGTAGGATTATTATAACCTAGGACATTTTAGGATTACTTATAACCTAGGACATTTTAGGATGACCGGGCCTTCCGGGCCGGACCTTGACCAATTTTTTGAAGGCCGGTCCGTTGCAAGTATGCAAAATTCTGAAATTTTTCAAATTCTGAAGATCTGAAATTCTGAATATTATTCTAAAATTTTGGAATTCTGAATTTTCAAAACTCTAGAGTTCTGGAACTAAAGTTTTGAAATGCTTCAACTTTTCGAAATCTTTGCTGGAAAAGTTACTCGAATTCCGAAAATTTCGGGGTTTTTCGAGTTTCCTAAATGTCATGAGCGTTTTGTATGGGTTATCGAGAAATAGAATACCAAGAAAACTGAAAATTTCAACTGATTTATTGTACTTCATTTTACAGAATGTGTCAATCTGGAGAAGAATCTCAAATTTTGTCGGAAGAGTTCTCTTCCGTCAAAATAACACAACGTCTACAGGATGGACGTTTTCAAGATTTCAGTTACCTTAACTTTGATAATATAATCGGTTTTTTAACCATCTCGTTTTATCATGTCAAAATACCCCGATTCTTCATTTCATCCCCATATATGTGTAATATTTTTGGTTATCGTTCAGTCAAATAAAAAAGTGAAGAATCGGAAACAGTTTCTGTCGTTTTCAATTTTTTGAGTTAATACCAGACAAAGTGGCACCGGGACAGACAGACGCGTGTAGCGTTTTATTTATAAGGAAGATAATGATTTCGAAAAAATATTATATTCATTTTTTGTTTCAGAATTCTGAAATTCAGAATTTCAAATTTTCAAAAATTTAAAGTTTCTGAATTTCTGAATTTTCAAAGTTTTGTAATTTTTCTAAAAACCTTTAATCTTTTGAACTCAAAAAAAATTAAAGAAATTCAGAAAGTGTTTCGAATTTCAAACACTTTTGACTTCATTAGGTGGAAAATGGAAGTGAAAATATTGAGAGTAAAAAGAAGAATTCATCCATAAAACTGATTCATCATCATCATACTCATTGGCATCCCATTCGGAAGACACCTTCCCAATTGACAAATCATCCCCATCGGACACGAAATTCCATTGTGGCATGCTGAAAATATCTTCCGCTCATTTCAAATTTTTTGATAATAAATACACTTGTTCATTTTTAAACCAATAAGTCAAAAATTTTCAAAATTTGGCATTTTTAATGAAAAAAGAGACAATTTTCGAGTCATACAAAAGTAGTTCAGAATTTTTCTTTTTTTTTTCGAAATTTTCAGAATGTATTATACAAAAATAGAGCTTCAATTTTGTAGTTGTCAACTTTTTTGTGATAATTCAAAAAAGCGAGATAATCGGTTTTTACATTTTTGCCACTTTTTTGGTTATAAACGACGTATTTTGTAAAAATGGATTTTGGTTAAAAAGTTGTCAATTACAAAAATGAAGCTCTTAGTTTTTTTAGTATAATCAGAAATTTTTAGAAAAATCTGAAAATATTAAACCACTTTTGTAGGGCTCCGAAACTGACTATTTTTTTGTGACAAAGTCAAATTTTGAAATTTTTCGTCTCTCGGGATACTGTAAGCTATAGAGTGGAAATATTTGAAAAACTTTAAAATACAATCCTTACCAAACGTTGTGGACATTGGATTCTGAACACACACTCCACCAATACAATACTGACCAACTGGACACGTGGCACCGGTCATGCAGGCTGAAAAACTTTATCTTCGAAGGTCAGAATTTCAAAAGTTCCCAAGTTTCAGATTTTTTGAATTTTTGAATTTCAGTTTCAGAATTCCGGAATTCTGAAATTAAAAAAAACTCAAAAATTCAAGAATCCCTTTTTTTCCAAAAACCTACTAGTTTCCGTTGGCATCACTTGACTTCCTTGAAATGCGACATTACTCCTACTACAGTATCCATTTACACATATTTGTCCATTAAAACATTGTTGTACGAGGGAGCACGGTTGCATACCCCCAACACTTGATGGTAGTGGACCAGCGGCTAATGGGACATTTGCACCATATGGGGTCACTCCAGTTGGCACATTTGCTCCCACAGCGATACCTGGGAAATTGAGGATTTTGGAACTTTTGTAACTTCAAATTTCAGATTTTTTCTGAAAAAGTTTTGAGAAAATCCTTTGAAAACTCAGATATACAAAAAGATATACGATATGAAAAAACGCATCTTTCAGCAGACTTTTCGCCATTTTGATCATTTTCAGGAGCCTGGAGCTCGGCTATCAAGTACCCGATCACTTTGAAAATTTAGGAGAGTGTAAAACAGACATACCGTAAAACCTCTAACAGAACGACACCCGGATCGTCCACTTTGAGCCTATATATCTCATTTTCTGTGAAAGATATCAAAAAGTGGCTAACTAGTAAAATGTTGCTGATATCCTGATTAACATTATACTAGTTAACTACTTTTTGATATCTTTCAAAAGAAATGAGATATATACAGTACCGGTCAAAAGGTTGTAAACGCAGGGTTTTTCGAGCATAACTCAACGAATACCCAACCAAATTCTGTGATTTTTTTTTCTGGTAACTACAGGGGCAAGTCAAAAGGTATGACTACGGTCAGCGAGTTGTACGCAAACACGCTGACGCGATTCTGCAGATTTTTCAGTTTTTCGAAAAAAGCGGGTTTTTCGCCCTTTTTTTCAGACCTATTTTTTTTTCAAAATTTATCAATGTTTTCAATGTTTTTTTAGTAGCTTTTAGTTTTCAGGTATGCCAAGAGCTGGGAAAAAGCGTAACTTGACCGTGGAGGAGCAAAAAGCCATTTTTCGGGGACACCAAAATGGAGCATCTCTTGGAGATCTAGCTTCTCAGTTTGACGTAGGAAAACCATGCATTTCTAGATTTCTGAAGCGCTGGAAGAGCCACGGATGTAAACCAGTAAAGTATCATATCGGCCGCCCACGTGTCACTTCTCATCTGGATGATATCAACATTGCCCGCGTCTCCAGAAGCAATCCAAGATTGACTGCGCCTGCGATTGGACGGGAGGTATTTTTGATTAGTCCGGTTTCCCCATCGCCTCGACCGTCAAACGTCGTTTGAGAGCAGCTGGAATCATGGGAAGACGTCCAGTTAAGAAGCCGTTCATTTCGGAGAAGAACAGAAAAGCCAGAGTTGCCTGGGCGAAGCAACACCTCAATTGGACTCGTCAAGACTGGAACCAGGTTTTGTGGTCGGACGAAAGCGAGTTCATGCTTTTCGGAAGCGACGGGATTCAATGGATGCGGCGTCCAGTTGGCTCTCGGTATGATCCCAGATACCAATTACCAACCGTCAAGCACGGTGGAGGCAGCTGTATGGTCTGGGGTGTCTTTTCCGGAAAAGGCATCGGACCGATTCATCGCATCACAACTATCATGGATCGCTACGTCTACAAGGATATCCTCGAATCCAAAATGCTGCCACATTACAAATCCATGGGTCGTGAGATCGTTTTCCAACAGGATAACGATCCGAAACACACTTCCAAATTCGTCAAGGTACAAAAGATTCTGATGTCTCAAAATATTTTTGATTTTAGGATTGGTTCTCCAGCCGCAGAGTTCGCGTTATGGATTGGCCAAGCCAGTCCCCGGACCTCAATCCGATCGAGAATCTATGGGATGAGCTGGAGAGAAGATTGGCAGGGAAAAAAGCCAAAAATATGGACGAAAAGTACCAACAACTGGAAGAGGAATGGAAGAAGATCCCACAGACAGTAATCGACAATTTGCTCGACTCCATGCAGCGCAGATGTCAGGCTGTCATTGACTCTCGTGGCTTTGCAACAAAATATTAGACTCAATTTGTTATTTTTTATATGTTTTGTGTTGAATAAAAGTGGTTTTCGGAAATTATGCTTTTTTGAAAAATTTAGGTCAAAATTTGATTTTTTTTTCGAAAATTCAATTTTTTCTCTAAAAAACGTTATTTTTTCAAATTTTTGTATGAAACTTGGCCACGATTTGGCAAACCTTTACAGAAATATCTGGTGAAAATTTTGGCTCGATATCTGCTCTCAAAAAGTAGTTATGCTCAAAAAACCTTGCGTTTACAACCTTTTGACCGGTACTGTAGGCTCAAAGTGGACGATCCAGGTGTCGTTCTATTAGAGGTTTTACGGTAGATTGAAAACTTTGCATTCACAGAAGTTCTAAAACATTCCTAGGTTTTACTAACAATTGTAAGAACTGGGAATTTTCAAAAAAATCTGTGCAGGATCCAGGTCTGGTTAACACCCTGCAAAGTTATGAGAGGGATCGAAAACACAGGCAAGCTCCAGACTCCTGAATATGCCAAACATCGACTGAAAAAATGCGCTTTTTATTGACTGGTACTGTAGTACTTGAAATTCTTCAAAGATGGACGAGGATTTCCTAGGCCACGGCCACCATTTTTCAAAGACTGCCGTGGCCTAGAAATTATTCTCCATCTTTGACGACTCATCGTCTTTCAAAAGATTTTTTCGAGCATTTCAATTGAAAACAAGTGGTTTTCTGTTCAAACAATGCTCACCCCTACTAGCTGCTCCAAAACCAGCACCAGGAAAACCGACGCCAGCTCCTCCGCCATATAGAGCAGCGGCGGATGTTAATGCACCAAGACCTCCAGGCATCATTCCAGCGCCACCGTAACCCAGTGCTCTGGATCCCATCATTGATGTAGTACCACTCGATAAACAGTTACCATTCCAACAATATTGGCCGAATGGACAAGAAATGTATCTGGAAGAAGTTTGGGATTCTGAGATTCTGAGATTCTGAGATTCTGAGATTCGGAGATTCTGAGATTCTGAGATTATGTAATTCTGAGGTTTTGAGATTCTGAGATTCTGAGATTCTGAGATTCTGAGATTCTGAGATTCTGAGATTCTGAGATTCTGAGATTCTGAGATTCTGAGATTCTGTAATTCTGAGATTCTGATATTCTGAGATTCTGAGATTCTGAGATTCCGAGATTCTGAGATTCTGTAATTCTGAGATTCTGAGATTCTGAGATTCTGAGATTCTGAGATTCTGAGATTCTGTAATTCTGAGATTTCACATTTTTTTCAGGAAAAATCTGGAAAATTCAGGATTTTTGGAAGTTACAGAAAAACCAGAAATTCGAAAAATTGAGAAAATCCAGAACACTAAAAAAATTCTAAATTCAGAAGGTTTGTAAAATGCAGAATATCAGAAAGTTCCAAAAGGTTTGAATTCCAAAAGTTCTTAAAATTCTAAAAAACTCACCTACACATATCATTATCATTATAAGCACCCATTGCTCCATAAAGACCACTTCCCAGAAATTGCGGATTCGCAAATCTGAAAATATCAGATAATTCTGAAATTCTGAAACTCCGTATTCCAAAGAATCTCACCTAATCCAGTAGAAAAGTCGCAAGAACCACCTGATCATTGACATTATTTTTCTGAAGAAATGACACGATTTCAAGTGGGTAGAATCGGTTAAAAAAAATAATTATGAACCACTTGAGATTCCAAAAAAAAAGAAAAAAAATTATTAATGTTTCCAAAATGTTCAGAAATTCGAAAAAGTGAAATTCTAAGAAGTCGAAACTCTCAAAAAAATTCTTACAATTTCTTGAAAAATCAAAAAATTCCGAAATCGCAAAAAATTAGAATTAACAAAAAAGTATTTCAAACTTCGAAAAATCTGAAGAAATCAAAATTTGAAAAAAAAGGTATTAGACTAAGTTTAGGAATTTCAGGGAATCTGAAGTTCAACGTCTGAAAATTCTGAAAAAAAATATTTCAGAAATTTCGAGAAACTTCTAATGTTTACTTCTGGCAAAATAGTAAAAGGTTGCGCAACTTGTTGACTTCCACAAAATGACGGGAAAAAGTAACAGATGGATTCTCGGGGAAAAAAGAGGAGGGTAATTATATATGACAAATCCAGTTAGGCGGGGAGGGAGAGGGTACTATTGGTATGGGGTAAAAAAGAGGAGGATTCCGAACGTGATGAACCGTAAATTATGAAAATTGGAGAAGTGGCGGATTTCGATTCTCGATCAAGTGTGTCGAGACTTGATGAAAAAATCGAGAACACTATCAAATTGGATCCAGTATCCAAGGAATTAGGAAAATTCGAGAAACTTGAAAAGAAGTAAAAAAATTTCTTTAAAATTTCAAAAATCCGAGAAATTCACGAATCGAAAGTTTCGAAATTTCGAAACTAGTCAACTTCAAAGCCCTACAAAAATAGCCCTTAATTGATAAATTTTTCTGAAAATTTCAGATTATACTAAACAAAAATAAAGCTCTATTTTTGTAATTGACAGCTTTTTTGCCAAATCTCATCCTGAAGAGATGTGTAGTTTTTATAATATTGTCTATTCAAAATAATCGCGCGAGTGAACGAGTGAAAATGTCTGCGTCTCTACAGCGCCTCTACAGGTTTGGAGACTCTCTCCACGTTTTTTTTAACTCGTTCACCCGCGCGATTATTTTGAATAGACAATAATAATAATAATAATTTATTACGATGTGAAATCGTGAGAAATGTAATGACATAAACGACCATCTTCATCTTTTTTAACCAATCAGTTCTCAAGATTCTATTTAGAGTTGCAGACTTCCAGAACCTATTTTCTTGAAATACTTTGTGTAAAATTTGAAAAGAAAACAATAACTTAATTAATTCTTCACACATTCACAGACAAAATTACGTATGATAGAACTCGACGAGTGCTAAAAAATTATATTGTTTGGAAAACTATGTATTTTTTAGGAACAAAGTTACAGACAAAAAACATAGACCCGGCCACTTTATGACTTGTAACTTTCTTCATAGACAAGACACAGTTGTTCAAATTGTGTCATTTTGTAGCACTCGTTGAGTTCTATCATATCTAATTTGATTGGCCTCAAAATATTGTTTCTGATTGCAGAAAGGAAATTCTGAAAATTGAGAATTTTTGAATCTCGGGATCTCAGACTCTCAGAATCTCAGAATCTCATAATTTCGAAATTCCAGAATCTCTGAATCTCAGAATCTCAGGATTCCAAAAACTCAGAACCTCAGAATTTCAGAATCTCAGAATTTCAGAATCTCAGAATCTCAAAACAGAAATCTCGAAAAAATCGAAAACCGTAAAACTCCAATGTCTTTATCTTTTCAATCAATTCATTACAACATTTTCTGGAACATTTTCAGTCCAATTTCTATAAAAAATGATACAATACAAATTTAAAGAAATCAATAAAACTCGATTTTCAAAATTCGGAATTTTGAAAAACCATTTCTTTCGTTCTTGTCCGAAACCATCGTGATCAGTGAAAGGTTCACCAAAAACCTCGGCAAGATTTTGTTCGATTTTCTGCGAATCAAAGTCAATTTTGAATTCTTGAAGAGATTCAGAAGTCAGGAAGGCCTGGAAGAAAAGAATTTTCAAAAAATAATTTTGAAATTTTGAAATTACAGCGTTTTCAAAAACTTTTGATTCCGAAATTCAAAGATTCAGAAATTCAGAAATTCAGAAATTCAGAAATTCAGAAATTCAGAAATTCAGAAATTCAGAAATTCAGAAATTCAGAAATTCAGAAATTCAGAAATTCAGAAATTCAGAAATTCAGAAATTCAGAAATTCAGAAATTCAGAAATTCAGAAATTCAGAAATTCAGAAATTCAGAAATTCAGAAATTAAGAAATTCAGAAATTCAGAAATTCAGAAATTCAGAAATTCAGAAATTCAGAAATTCAGAAATTCAGAAATTCAGAAATTCAGAAATTCAGAAATTCAGAAATTCAGAAATTCAGAAATTCAGAAATTCAGAAATTCAGAAATTCAGAAATTCAGAAATTCAGAAATTCAGAAATTCAGAAATTCAGAAATTCAGAAATTCAGAAATTCAGAAATTCAGAAATTCAGAAATTCAGAAATTCAGAAATTCAGAAATTCAGAAATTCAGGAATTCAAAAATTCGGAGTTTGAGGAAATTCAATTTTTCCAATTCGTTTTTTCCCTTACCTCCTTCAATTCCAATACCATATCCATTGTAATTTCCTCAAAAGCCACATAAATCCTCTTCAAATGTTTCAAATTTTGAATCGGAATATCCACAACAAAATTTCGAATAGTCAAAGTTTCCAGATTTTTCCATTGCTCAGATTCCACGAATTCAGAAGTTTCCAATTCATTGATGATGTCTCCTTGACCGTTGAAAATTATCAACGATTTCAAATGAGTCGAATCCAAAAATGGCAAAATCGATAGAATTTCCAATTCTCGGGTGACAGTAGTACGAAACGTTTTGGTTTTGATTTTTCGAAATTTCAGAATGTTCTGAAAACGTTCCGGGATGTTGGAACTTCCAGATTTTGAGCGAAAATCAATATTCAAAAAATGCAAAATCGATTTTTGGAAAGACAATATTGATTGAAAATCTCGAAATGCCAAATCCACAAAATCCTGATTTTCCAGAACTTTTTGTCGGTTTTTGTAATTTTCATAAATCACAATTTTACAGCCATTATTATCAAATTTTTTGTATTGAATTTGAATTTTTTCGTCATCGTCTCCAAATGTGAAATCGAAATTGATGTAGTCCGATATTCGAATATCGATTCGAGTCAAAAATGAATCAAAATTCGAGTCGTCGATAAAATTTCGAATGGTCCAACAAGTTTTTCGAAGGCGTTGACTGCAAAAATTGTTTTTCGAAAACTCAGAACCTCAGAGTCTCAAAATCTCAGAATCTCAGAATCTCAGAATTTCAGAATCTCAGAATCTCAGAACCTCAGAATCTCAGAATCTCAGAATCTCAGAATCTCAGAATTTCAAAATCTCAGAATCTCAGAATCTCAGAATTTCAGAACCTCAGAATCTCAGAATCTCAGAATCTCAGAATCTCAGAATCTCAGAATCTCAGAATCTCAAAATCTCAGAATCCCAGGATCTCAAACTCTCCGATTTCACAATTTCAGATTGTTAGGAAATTTTGAATTTCAAGTTTTTCGAAGGTTGACTACAAAAATTTTTTTTCGAAAACTCAGAACCTCAGAGTCTCAAAATCTCAGAATTTCAAATTCTCAGAATCTCAGAATCTCAGAATTTCAAAATCTCAGAATCTCAGAATCTCAGAATCTCAGAATCTCAGAATCCAGAATCTCAGAATCTCAGAATCTTAGAATTTCAGAATTTTTGAATTTGGACATTCCTGAATTTTTGAATTCCGTGGATTCTGGGTTATTGAAATTTCCGAATTTCCGAATTTTCCAATTTTTTGCTATTTTCAGGAATCTCTCATTTTCTAACTTTCTTTAATTTTTAATTTTGTCAGAAAAAGAGAAACTTACACATCAATATAATCCAACTTTTCTAAAATCATATTCATAGCAACATCCGGCATTTCCAGAAGTTTCAACATTTCTCTGACTGAAAAATTATTTTTGAATAATTAAATTTCGATTGAAAAAACTGAAAAAAAATGCTCACAATCTGAAAATTTTCGTTCTGATAAGAAATTGGAAATTTTGGCGAGAGGAGGGAAAAATGACGAAATTGTTTGCATAATGACATTCACACACCGAGAAAACGGTTATAAAGTTGCTATCACTGATCAATAGAGGGCATTTTCTTTACTTTTTTTGTTGATGTCTCAATATTTCGAAATATACTTCGTCTTTCTTTTTTCTCAAATTGAAAAAAAAAGTTGCCAAGAAATTTCGAAAAATTCAAAACAAAATTTCAGATTACTGTACTATTCAAAAAATGGACATTTCGTTCTTGGATTTGCCGGATGTGCCTATGAAATTGATTATGGAATATCTGGATCTTCAGTCCGTGTGAGTTTTTTTGAAAACAGAATTTCAGAAATTTTTGAAATTCTAGGATTTTTCGGATTAAGAAGTTAGAAGGTGAGATTCTGAGATTCTGAGATTCTGAAATTCTGGGATTCTAAGATTCTGAGATTCTGAGATTCTGAGATTCTGAGATTCTGAGATTCTGAAATTCTGAGATTTTCTGAGATTTTGAGACTCTGAAAACCAGCACCAGGAAAACCGACGCCAGCTCCTCCGCCATGTAGAGCAGCGGCGGATGTTAATGCACCAAGACCTCCAGGCATCATTCCAGCGCCACCGTAACCCAGTCTGGATCCCATCATTGATGTGGTACCACTCGATAAACAGTTACCATTCCAACAATATTGGCCGAATGGACAAGAAATGTATCTGGAAGAAGTTTGGGATTCTGAGATTCTGAGATTCTGAGATTCCGAGATTCTGAGATTCTGAGATTCTGAGATTCTGAAATTCTGAGATTCTAAGATTCTGAGATTCTGAGATTCTGAGATTCTGAGATTCTGAAATTCTGAGATTTTCTGAGATTCGGAAATTCTGAGATTCTGAAAGTATAAGATTCTGAGATCCAGAAATTTAAAATTTCAGAAATTCAGGAATTCAGAATTTTTCAAAGTCAAAAACAAATACAAAAGTTGGAATTCTGTCTAACAATTAGAAGTTTTGAGAACCAAATATTAAAACTTGAATTTCAAAACTCCCAAACTCCAAAATAAATCTTGAAAATTAAGCAATTCATTTTGAGAAATTTTCAGTCAATGTCTTCGAAAAACCTGTTGGAATCTTTGTAACTTCATTGACGATGTCAAACCGGAATCAAACTTATCAGCTTTAAAAATTTCGATAAAGGATACTGTATTTTTAGATTTGGAATTCGGAGAAAAATGCATATATATAGAGTACGAAAATCATGAAAATTGATGTTTGCTGAAATTCTATGATTCAAGACATCAAATTTTTCTGGAAACGCCAATGTTTTGGAAATCGCCGTCAAAGATGTTCAACTTCTTTTAGACTCAAAAAATTCTGCAATTCTTGAAAAATTTCATATCAATTTGTGTGAAAAATGTTCTGGAATTGAAGAAAATCTGAAATCCAGAATTATTTCTTTGAAAGTCAATTCTTTTTCCGTGGATTTTCTCGAGGAAACTCAAATTTTGGATTTTCTACCATTTTTCAATCGCAGCAGTTTGAAAGAAACACAACTGTATATTGGAAGAGAAAATGTTGGAAAAGTTTTCGAATTTTTTGAAATTTCGAAACTGGATCAATGGAAAAATGCAAAGATTTTGGTTTTGAAACAGTTTTATATGATGGAAAATTTGGAAAATTTCAAAGAAATTACAATGCATATGAAGAAAATTTGTATGGATATAGTTTTGAATTTCAAAAAGGTGAAATGAAAACAAAAGGTGAGAAAAAACAAACAATTTTTGGATTTTTCCATGTTTTCCTGACGTCGTCTTCCATGGAAATAGCTAAAATTGCTTTTGAAAACTTTGATGTGGAAGAACAATTAATTGAAATTTTCGGAGAACCGTTTCAACATTTTTTTGCAATTAAAGGTGGGGGGACAGGAGATTTTTCGTAGTTTTTTTGTAGCTAGAGTATGCATTCTACCGTGACGGTGTACAACGCTTAATGTAACTCTGCGTACAGCTGTCGTCCTCGCCTTTATGTGTGCGATCGGGCGGCCGTTTTCTCTTTGCCCGCGTGGCTCAGTCGGTAGCGGCGCCGCGCCCTCAATCCTAGCCTCGACAAGTTCAACTCCTCGAGGGGCATATTAAGACGGAATATCGAGAGTATTATTTTTTTCATGTCTCCCCACCTTTAAAAAACGATGGTTTTTCAAAATTTCAGAAGATTCCCAAAAAATTTTGTCAATTAGATTTCATTTTATTTGTTTTGATTTCAACCGCATTGAAAGAAAAAATGTTCCTGGAAACGCGATTATTTCGAATTATTAGATTTTTGTATTAGAATTTTTTGTGATTTTTCATAAATTATTAGCTGTAAATTGTAATTTTTTCAATTTCTTTATTAATCTGGAATAAAGAAAATTTTAATTTTTTAGCTCAAATTTTCAAATTTTCCACGAATTTCATGATTTTTAATAGATTCTGAATTTTAAAGTTCAGAGTTTCAGAATTTTAGCATTACCAGAAAACTTGAATTTTGAAATTCTGAAACTGGGGATGCCCAGAATACTTGAGTTTTCAAATGTTCCAGAAAATTTGGAAATTCAGAATCTCACAAGTTCAGAAACTTTCAGCCAGAATCAATAGTTCATAATTTCCTTTTTGATTAGTGAAGTTCAAAAAATCATCAAAACTCAGTGAGCCAAGATCACGAGAACAGGAGTATCTTCTTGATCCAGATGGACCACTCAATACACAAAAAGTAGTAATATTTGTGTGATGACAGACAGAAGGAAATTGTCCCGTGTGGTACTCGGGAGGACCAAACAGCTGACTTGCCTCTTCAAATCTCATTCTCATTCATTCTTCTTGCAATAAAGGATTTATTATTGGTTTTTTTTATTTTACAGAATTCTTAGTTATGCCAGGATTCTAATTTTTTTCGATTTTTCTGAATTTTATGAAACATGGAATTTCTGAATTTCAAGCTTTCTTTATTCAAACGAAAGTTTCAAGGTTTTTTCTTGGATTCTGCATTTTTCCTTTTTTTTGAGTTTCTGAATTCTTTGGTAATTCTGTATTTCAGGAAATCTTAGTTTTTGAATTTCTCTCGAATTCTCGAATTTCTGAATTTCCGAATTTCCGAATTTTTGAATTTTTGAGAATCTGAGATTCTGAGATTCTCATACCGATCCTGAAATTATCAGAATTCCTGAATCTCAGAATCTCAGAATCTCAGAATCTCAGAATCTCAGAATCTCAGAATCTCAGAATCTCAGAATCTCAGAATCTCAGAATCTCAGAATCTCAGAATCTCAGAATCTCAGAATCTCAGAATCTCAGAATCTCAGAATCTCAGAATCTCAGGATCTCAGAATCTCAGAATCTCAGAAACTCAGAATCTCAGAATCTCAGAATTCCAGGATCTCAAACTCTCCGATTTCACAATTTCATATTGTTAGGAAATTTTGGATTTCTGACTAAAAGAATCTAAAAACCTCAGAATCTCAAAAAGCAAAAAAAAAGCCTGAGAGTCTTAAGAACCGAACTTCCAGAATTTCAGAATCTGCGAATCTCAAAAAAAAAACTAGAGATCAGAATTTCAAGTTTTCAATCTTTTTCGAATATCAGAAACCCTCTGTTCTAGCCAACGAATTCTGAACAGTACACCCCAAAACTTTCATTTCTCAAGCAATTAATTCGAAAAAGAAGAAAACCAGTTTCTTCAATTCTCGATTTAAATGATATCATTCTCTTGATTCTGTGGGTTCTGATTTGAAAGAAAAAAAGAAGAAATTCCAAATAATAATAAAAAAAATCTAATTGGTGAGGTCATTGGTTTTTGGCAGATGAACAAGATTTTTATGAGCGGATAGGTATATTGTCTCTTTTTCTTTTCTCGCTTTTTTTGTTGTTTCTTTATCAGAAAGACTACAAACTATAAAATCTTGTGGGTCCTTTTTTTGTTGATATGACAAGATTCTTCGTGTTGCGTTGGAGATGTTCGGGTACAAAAAATTCTGAATTTTTTTATGAATTTTTTTTTTCTATTTTGGTGCCATTTTTTGAATATTTCTGATTTTTAGTAGATCCTGAAAAATAGTTTAGTATATCAATAACATTTTGACATCATTTTTTTTGTTTTTTGTTCATGTTTTGACAATTGTCTGTCCGATTTTTGATGACTTCTGATTTTTTGAAGATTTTCTTTACTGGGTTTTTTCTGTTTTTTTTTTGTAATTTCTGAATTTCTGAATTTCTGAATTTCTGAATTTCTGAATTTCTGAATTTCTAAATTTCTGAATTTCTGAATTTCTGAATTTCTGAATTTCTGAATTTCTGAATTTCTGAATTTCTGAATTTCTGAATTTCTGAATTTCTGAATTTCTGAATTTCTGAATTTCTGAATTTCTGAATTTCTGAATCTCAGAGTCTCAGAATCTCAGAATCTCAGAATCCCAGAATCTCAGAATCTCAGAATCCTAGAGTCCTAGAGAACTTCAGAATCTCAGAATCTCAAAATCTCAGAATCTCAGAATCTCAGAATCTCAGAATCTCAGAATCTCAGAGTCTCAGAATCTCAGAATCTCAGAATCTCAGTGTCTCAGAATCTCAGAATCTCAGAATTCCAGATTGTCAGATTTCCAGATTTCCAGAATTCTCACCATTTCCATATGAATCGATTGTGATCACATTGTGTACTCCATCCCGACACTTTGATGACGTCACCAGAGTAATTTCCAGAAGAATCAGAAAAAAACTGATCACTAACCGCATTTCTGAAAATTCTAGAACTTTTTTGAAAATCTGGCGGAAATTCAAAAAAATAACTTTCGAACGCAAAAGAAAGAAAAATGCGATGATCCAGAAAATCGGTGAAAAAGTCCAAGGGAGAAGGGAATTGAAAAAGAAAGAAGAATCCGGTTTTTCAAAAAAAAATTTGATTCTTTTTGACATGGAATCAATGTGTCGGTCAATAGAAAAATAGTCGAAAAAATAGAAAAATGCTTGAAATTTTGTAAAAAATCAATTTTGGAGATCAAATATT